GTGCAAACAAAAGTTACATGTAGGGGAGGTGGAAATCTTCATTAGATGACACTTTCTGGGAGTGAGATGCATACTATGAATCATCTTGAAATGAATCAACTGATGTTTAGGATTTTTAGAGACGTGTTTGAGGTTTGCCCATATTGAATCCCAACATGTTATTACTGTCCTCTGAGCCAGCCCCATTAATATCTCTGTACCAAATGTCCTCAATTGGGAGCTTTTTATAAGAAGTCTCCAAAAGCGACATATACAACAACAAAACCATACCCCTTGTACCCTCAAATCCTGTAATCTATATGGTAAAGCCAAATTAAGTTCAATCGGTTGCCAAGAAACAGTCGAATCAGGATTCAGCCACACTGTGAGAGGTTACAAAGTAAACGCCCAATGCTAAAGCTTAAAGTCAGGTATTGCAAGTCCGTAAGCATCCTTGCAGCGCTGCAGTGTTGAATATTTTATGCAGGGAGGCTAGCCGTTCCATATCATATAAACTTAGAAGTTAATCTTTGCAATTTAGACCAATAGTCTAAATGTCGTGACAGGTATCATAGCAGAAAAAAAATGTATGCAAGGTAAAATATCCATTTTAATGACGAAACCCGGGCTTGTAAAGAAAAAGGTAATGTTGACCAATGAGTCAGGTCCATCTCTACACAATTATAAATACCCTTGAATTTTTTTAAAAGCTATTGTGTAGAGAGATGGGAAGATGTCCACACCCAAATATCTAAAATTGGTAACAAACAGAATAAACGATGGTAAAACAGAATCAACAGTTAAATGATTTAAGTGCATCAATGCAGATTTATTCCAATTAATCTTATACACAGAGAATTGGCTAAAAGAGTTAAAGGCTGTCAAAATATGATGAATAGACTGTCACTGATATATAACAGAATGTCATCTGCATATAATGAAATCGTGTGGGAAGTATTACTAAAAGTGATGGGACTAATCAAAGAATGTTGACGAATTTTCTGTGCAAGAGGCTCAAGAGAAAGGTGAGCCCTGACGCATCCCACATAATATAGAAAACTTTGGAGAGGTGATGCCACCTGTCATGACCAACGCAGAAGGATTGGCATATAGTACTTTAACCATACTGATTTAGTCTCTGCCTAAACCAAAGCATTCCAATGCTGACCAAAGGTAATGTCACCAAACTTTAATGCCACTATTTAAAAGAGACAACAGTCTATAATTACCACATTGAGTCAAGTCTTTATTAGGCTTGGGTAACAAAGTAATGATAGCCATATTAGCACTGTTGTTAAAAGAACCCACTTGAATGGAATGATGAATCATATTTAACAAAGGCTGTCCCAGCTGTTCCCAGAAAGAAAGGTATAATTCAGGAGGGATTCCATCCCATCTGGGAGACTTACCCCTTTTCATAAGTGTAAGAGCATTCTTTAACTCATCCAAAGAAACTGGAGTGTTCAAGGATGCCGCCTCTGCTTCAGAGAGACATGTCAGGGTCGAATCCTGAAGAAAGTTATCGCTCAGAGTCTTACATCAGATCAAATCTGAGTCTGACCTACCTGTATATAGATTCTGATAAAATTATTTAAATTATTTATTTATGCCTTACGGTTCGCTTATAAAACCATTAGGAGATTGAATTGCCATAATATTTGAATATTTTTCAGCATTCCTTAGGCTAGTGCTAAAAGATGACTTGGCTTAGCACCATTAAAATAATAGGTTCTTCGACCATTGTGCATTAAAAACTCAGCTCTATGCCGTAACAGTGAGTTTAGTTCTGTGCGTGTCACATTTATTTCTTGCCGAACATCCTCAGAATTGGAAATTTGTAGACGATTCTCTAGCCTATTTAATTTTGATTCAAGAATGCCTATTTCTTTCAATCTAGATGTATTTAAATGGGATGCAAAATAAATAGAGGAAGTCCGTATACAACCCTTAAATCAGGGATCGCCCACCGACCCAGCATTTATCTCTATAAACCAACTCAACTCTTCTTTGAGCATTGCACAGAAAACTTTGTTCTGCAACAGTGTGGTATTAAAACGCCAATGTGATACCCTAGTGGGTGCAGAGATAAGAGAGATTGTAGCTGAAACAACACTATGATCAGATAAAGGGCATGCCTTTATATCAACACTGTGTATTTTCTAAATATGAAGCATGAGATATAAGAATATAATCCAGTCTAGAATAACTTTTATGTCTAATAGTGTAGAAGGTGAACTGTCTACATACATCCTACATACATTTGCATAAATCAACAGATGACAAAGATTGCATTGGGTGATTCTGCACACAAGAACGATCAAGAGAATCTGATATCTGATATCTGATATCCTCAAATGTGATTCTTGGAGAAATGCCAGATCAACCTGGTGTCTATGCAAGTAATCCAAACAAGCAGTACGTTTAATGGGGTTATTCAGCCCATTAACATTCCAGGTACCTATGTGAAGTGTTTAGCACCCATAAAGAGACAAAAAAAAAATCGAAACAATAAACAGATTGCACAACAGACATATAACACTACAAAGGGAGAAAAACCCACCCGCCCTGGTCGCCATAACCCAGAAGAACACCCAATTTCCCGCAAAAAAGAGACTCTAACAGAGTGTCAAAATTTGTTTTGTTTTTTATGAATAATAATAATAATAAAATATTAATAATAACTAAAGAAAAATACAATTGGGTGAACCAATACCCACCTAATGGACAACGTGACCCCGAGAAGGGCGGCAGACACAATGTTACTGCTCCCCAGCCATTATTAACATGTTAATAACCAAAACTAGCAATGAACGAAATGAACCGAATAGCTTACAATGAAAGGCAAATTGTGACATTCTGCCCACGTTAGATGATAAGTCTAATAAGGATTTATGATAAGGAACGAGGAAGAAATCCTCTAAGACCCTTCCTCACTCTCCTACGTGGCCAAACCACTCAAAAAGTCCTCCACCTCCAGAGGGGACTTGAAAATGTGCTGAGCCGAACCTCGCGTTAACTTCAACGGGGTCATCAAGAAAGTCTGAAAGCCCATTCTCTGCGACTTGTTAGTTACCTCCATGAAGGAACGACATCCGTTGATGGTGAACGCGCTATAGTCCGCGGCAAATCTGATGTCTTTGCCATCCACCTTGGCAGGAGATTTCCTGGATGCACGGAGAACTGAATTACGATCAGTATAACGTAGCATCTTCATAATGACTGTGCGGGGCCTGCCAGAGTTGTTCCCAACGAAGGGAACCATAGAGGTACAGATCCCGAGATGCATGCTGTGAGATTCGTGGCTTCCACGCTTTCCGGGAGATTCATAATACGAACGTTATCCCTGCGGCTGCGGTCTTCCAAATCAGCCATCTTTTCCTAGAAGGTCGTCAATCTGGCGGCACATTTGTCAGAGTTTTTTCCGTTTTACCGACCCGGCTGCTCAGACTGGAGTAGCCATCACGCAGTTTTCTCACTCCATTAGAACAACTGGAAAGCTCCGACTGAATGTTATCCAGTCTGTCGTGCAGAGTTTATTGCTGCGCTTCAATGAACCGCTGCTGTTTTTCCATTGCATTGGCTATCATGGCGACAAGGGACTCTTCCATCTTGTCCGCCTCAAGTGCTCGCTCACATTTGTTTGGCGGCCGATTTACCTTGACAAGTAGTCATACTGTCGGTACACAGTTTCAAAACGTAAAACAAAATGTTGAGTAATTGGCAAAAAACCCTGAATATATAATGAAAATGAGTAGGGTTAAGCGGAGCTAAAACGCTATGCTACCATCATGCTCACGGGTCACGTGACACTCCCAACATTTCTACATTTCTAAGTTTACATTTTTCATCTAATACTCATGTTTAATTTTATTTTATTTTGAGAAAAAAAAAAAAACATTATACCAAAAGAAGCATAGATTAGAAGTTTGTTTCTTTGTTTGTTGTCTTTGTCTACTTTCCGGACTTTAAATGCCAACTCTTTAAAGACTTAACTTTAAAACTTCCTTAAAATTTTATGCTTCAGAGACCTGAAAGGTACAGTATGTGAGATTGACAACTAGAACTGCAGTTCAAATTCAAAATATTGGAGAGAGATGTTTCCCCTGCCCCCTCCTTCTCAGACTCGATGCTCATTGAGGACTCGTTGCCAGATTGAGGACACGCAACAGGATTGAGTGCAATTGACACTGGAAGGTGAGGAGACTTAAGTTGATGAGTTGACACTGTAAGTTGATGAGTTGATTTATTGATTTATGATGAGTTGATATCACGTTTTAATATGCTCCCATTCATAGAGATTTTTAGATGGGTGAAGAAGCTTTTTAGGTCGAGTAGAATCTGCAATCTCTGACCCAGTTTGTTTGCTGGCTGCAATATGCAGTGTTTTCCGCCAACTGGCATCCCGGGGTGTCGAAATACTATTGGGTGAACTGGCAGTGGGCGACATCACACAGACCAAAACAAAAACAGACATTCCAACATGGAACGCACATTTCAAAGTAAAATAACTGACTGTATCATTGATTTTCAGAGAAACGAGTATGTGCACTCAGCATGTTTCCTAAATATCTGCAAACATATTTTGTTTTTTGTATGCTTTAGTACAGTCAAAAACTTACATACAGCACCTTTAAGTTTACATAGGGCCTAATATAAGAATAGATGTATTTACTCATTTAGGGCTAGCATATCGTCACTTCAGAAACCTCATATATACTGGACTGCACTGTACACACACACACACACACAGAGAGAGAGAGAGAGAATCTGCTAAGAGGTCTCAAGAGAGCATAATTTCCAAGTGCAAAGCTCTGCAGTTTGACTGTTGGAGCTCAGCAGCCAAGGGAGATCTCATTAAAAAAAAATGCCACAACTCTCCAAAATCCACAGAGAAAAAAACAATTGCTTCCATTTAAAAGTGTAAATATTCTCTCTTTTACGATATATTTTGCACACAGCTACAGATTCTCATTGATCTTTTTCTTGAGCTATGGATTATAGTAGGATTTTCATGTACTCACTCTAACACATCTCTGTTAAACGGCTTCTTGCTGTTGCCAAGAAACTCGCCAATCATCTGCCGGCTCAGCCCCTTCCTCTGGAGCAGGAAGTGCGCCACACCTATGGGTGTATCCGGAATGAAACCACGAGAGATGAGAAACTGGAGGCCCTTGTCTGGATTTCTGTTCGATTCACAGAAAAAGAGGTTGATAGTGGAGGGAAGTTGGGATTTGGGGGACAGAGAGAGAGAGAGAGAGAGAGAGAGAGAGAGAGAGAGAGAGAGAGAGAGAGAGAGAGAGAGAGAGAGAGAGAGAGACATATTAGTACTGTTAACACACTATTACCACACGATTATTAGTGAACAGCAATTAAAAAAATGAGTCTATTCCCCACACATGACTTCAGAAGATATCAACAGTTGTATGGACTAATTTTATGATGTCCTACAGTGCACTTATTCACCTTATTTAGCAACACAAAAGTAATCGGCACTTCCGATTCATTGGCCTCTGCAGTTAATAACTGGTAGAATAACAAAAGGTAGTAAATTATCAAATAATTTGTGCTTCAAACCAGTGTGTTTATGATTATGATAACAAACAACAGTTTGCAATATCAAGCAACATAATGAACAGTTTTTGAACAGCTGGAATAACTGGAAGTGGATGAAACTGGAAGCCTTTCTCTTGAAAGGAGAGACACCTTCACATTCCACAGAAGCCAAGTGCGCATTAATAACCTCTATTTTTCCATTCAGTGCCTTATCAATATCCAGAATGTCACCGCTTTCCTGCCTTCAGACAATAAAAGTGACAACATGGGACAGAAAGAAGCTTCTCGGCTGTACTTTATAGAGTTGCTTTATTCCTTTGGTCAGCATTCTCATTCTCAAGTCTTTGCCCTGGGGGAAAAGAGTACATGGATTTATAGAGGGTCCAATAAACTTTCATTCATCCACATGCTGAGAAAACCACGTTTGGCTGACTGCATTCTACAACATCCCTATTTCACAGCTTCTTCCCTATTCATTACACTGATTTACTCCTTATAATAAATGTACGACTCTTGCTGACACAGTCTAGCTTTACTGAGGGGAACATGATATTATGAACAGCCTGTTTGTCAGTTACAATAAAAAGCCTGTCACTATGTTTTACTGTAAGGGCATTGAAATGATATGCAATTGAATGATATTAGATTCTGGAAGGGTTATGCATGCTGTTTGTTTATTGTGATGGAGAAAACTTGACTGGTGATTCATTAAACAAGTTAAATGGCCCATAAATCGTCTGTTTATTTAAACTTTCTATCAAGTAAAAATGGTTGTAATTTTCGCAGAAATCTTATATGAATGCTATAGTAAAAACTTAATAGGTTAAAAATATATTACATTAGATGCATGAATTTAATTTAGAAAGTTTAGCTCCTTCCATTGAGAGGAAGTGTCCTGTGTTTAAAATGCAGATGAATTTATGTATTTATTTATTTAATAATAATGTGTCCGTGGCGGTTGCAGCAAGGATGAAAATAAAAGAGTTGGATATAATTGCAAGCAGTTCTTTTTAATTAAATCAAACTCAAAATAATATCAGATCAGACAAAAGCCCTATTCGGACGGGACTAGTTTTTTTTTTATTTATGAATTACTTATTGATATAACTTTTATTTATTAAAGTAAACTTCAAATAGCATAAGTGTAAGTGAGCAGAGACATCTAGACAAGTATTTCCGCTCTCCTGCTGTTTTCCTCTCTTTTGAGGAAAAGAAACATTCCCATTCCGTTCACGAGGCAGGTGAAACCCCAATTTAGAGTGGTATACTCACTCGGCTTACCAACGTCCCCTGTTCACTCGTCAATGTCCTCTATATGTCCTTTACATGCTCTTTCCAACATATACACACTCACTGCACTGAGCCCCCATAATCCTTCTCCTAATTATCTGTTTAGGGAAAGCACTTTTCAGTCCCCAAATCTCTCTATTAATCCAAACTCAGATTTCAGTGTCTTGTCCCAGAGCACACACACACACACACACACACACACACACACACACACACACACACACACACACACACACACACACACACACACACACACACACACACACACGCACACACACACACACACACACACACCTACCTGCTTTAGATTCAGTCTGAGCAGTCACAGGATTAGGCTACCCTGCAGAAAATGAACTGCTGGAACTAATGACAACCCCTCTCTCTTTTCACTCACTCTCTTGGAGCAAAACCTCCATTTGATTAAAAATTGGCTTATCCTTATCTGTCGGGGTGTTTGAGGTAAATGACGTGTGAGTAAGGGAGAGACTTGTTTATTTTTATTTTGCTTGATCGATTTAATGAACAGATTTAATCAAACTATTGTATTTTGCGTATCACATAAATTATATTAAACTATACTATATCGTGCATGTATAAAATGTCCATAAAAATGTTGTAAAGCTTCTGAGCAAGATATAGTGTATGCCATTTCTGCAGGCTGCATAAAGTAATAGTGTCTTGTTTGTGAACAAATCTTTTTTTTTTTTTTTTTTCTTTTTTTTTTGCAAGATGCTTAAACACTTTCTTTGGAGTCCCTATTTAGATTTGTATGTACACAAATTGCATTAGATTGTATAAAAACTTGGTTTGGTCATGAATTACTCAATGTTTTTGTTGTTTTTGCTTAACAGATTGGTTAAGTGAATGATTCAAATGACTCACTCATGCTATAAGTCAGTTGTCACCAACCTGTAGAAAGGGTCAGACAAGTAAAACAATAGCTTCAATTTAGGGGGGCTTTTACACAACACCGATTTCAACATGCGTTTTGACCATTCATTTACATGACAATGCTGTTTTGGGGGCCTGAAAACACAGACTTTGAAAACAGGTTTGAAAGTGCACCTTTTTGAAAATGATAGCATTATCGTCTCTGTGTAAGCAACAAAAAAAGCGAATTTGCGAGTCCAGCCCGACTCGGCAGCCAAAAGCCCGGGGCGAAATCAGGGATAATCCGGGGTTTCTCACCCAATGCGGGGAGATGATGCGACTAACCTTTCGCGCTTATCACACTCCTGTGAGAATGTACAGAATGTGTATTATGTGTTCAGTCTATAGGTGCTATGTGTTTCTTTACAAAGTGACTTCGCCAACTACTGGCCTGGCATGAATAATACAGCGTTTTATTAGTCGTTTTTGCAGATCCGTGTGAATGGGGATCATTTTGACAATGTTGTCATCTGTACGTGAAAATTAAAAAAAAATGCAAAGGAAAACTTTTTGACCAAAAAATGTTTTGAAAACGTAAAACATTTATTATTCATTGACAAAACTGTTCCAAAGAAGAAAGCAATTATATGAGTTTTGAACAACAAGAGGGTAGATGAGACCAACATGAGAGAAATTATCCTAAAATTTTCATTTTTGGGCGAACTATTCCTTGATTGACAGTTGAAGCTGAGTTATTTGAGGGATTTAGCCATATGTTCAAAATTATCACACCTTTCCTTATTTAAAATAAATCTGATGAGATGGTGGAAAATAAACAGCCTCCCACTCAACTTGGCAGCCAGTATATAGCTCTCCCAGCTGATTCATAATCAAGTGCACACATACATTCACTCACCCATAAAGCAGATGTATCCCTTCTGTTACTTTCTACCGTGAATATTGCCACCATCAATGGAGGGCAAATAAGGTTTCATATGGTGAAGATGGAAAATAAATTTGTAGATTATGCACCTTTCCTTTTGCAAGATGGACAAAGACCGCTGTGCGTAGCTTCAAGCCTATTTGTAAGTTATGTAAGCTACCATGTTAGGATCACACTGATGCTGTCTGGAAATGTGATTTTAAAGAATTTTTTTTTTTCACTCATGACTCAGATCTACTCCTTTATTTGCCTGTGCTATTACGTGCACACAATTACTTTCAGTGCAAAATGCATTCAATAAAAGGTAAGAACAATGCGTTTTACCTTAGACGGTGAGACAACAATAAAAGGGAAATCATGGAGATCTTTTATGGTTAACTACAGAAAAGCAGTACTTCATCTGAATAAGCTATTAACTTTTTAAAGCCATATTCCCCCAGTGAATTTGTATAGCCGATGAAGAACTTTTAATTAGGCTCTCTATCTTCAGATTATGGCAATGCTTTAAAGGAACTACAAATTACCCTGAAGTGCCACTGCAAGGTCATGGGGAAATAAGTAAGGGTAAAAGCGCGGGAGATCAGCAGTAAATAGAAAAAAAAAAAAAACAGCCGTTGCGACGGCGTTCAAGTTTGTGAATAGCGGTTAGCGCTCTGCCTTTATAAAGCGGCATTAAACGGCAATTACACTGAATCGTTCTTCGTCAGACCGTTGACTTGTCACCATTTGAACAAGCCCAACATAGAAATTGGTCGCCATAGAAAAGCACCTCTTCAACGGACCGAATTACAAGCTGCTATTGTGAACGCGGCACTCCGCTGCTGTACATGTTCCGGCGAGAAGACCAACAAGAAGCTGAGCTTGTGAGGCGCTGTCAAAAGCTGTTTGATATTGGCGCTTTTATATATTGTTCATCCAAAGCTGCCAATTTACCAATCCACAAACTGACAAACACATATTACCAGCTAACACACACATTCTACCCTCCTTCTCTCTGCTTTCAGAGGCAGAAGTCTCCAAACTCGTCCTTTCCAATCGCCCTACTATCTGTCCGCTTGATCCTATTCCCACTAATCTACTTCAAGCCATTTCTTCCTCAGCTGTACCCACACTCACGCACATCATCAACACCTCTCTTCACACTGGTACCTTTCTCACATCATTTAATCAGGCTCCGGTAACCCCACTGCTTAAGAAACCCACTCTAAATCCAGCACATCTGGAAAATTACAGACCGGTATCCCTTCTTCCATTCGTCACGAAAACACTTGAACAAGTTGTTTTCAATCAGATCTCTTCCTTTCTTACACAGAACAACTTCCTGGACAACAATCAGTCTGGTTTCAAAAGCGGACACTCAACTGAGACTGCCCTGCTCTCAGTAATTGAAGCTCTGAGACTGGCAAGAGCAACTTCCAAATCCTCAGTTCTCATCCTGCTGGATCTGTCTGGTGCCTTTGACACAGTTAAGGTGAGACACGGCAGGCAAAAACATTGATTTTTTTTTTTTCACTGGTCAATTTTGAG